AAAAAAAAAAATCAGTAAAGGATCTGGAACCAGGGACCCATATAGGAATCTAAGAAGCATGTCATAAACATAAGACTAATGTACTAATTATGTATGGTGCTCTTTTGCTGACTAATTCTTCTATTTTAGATAATGAAAGAAATCCAAGAACATAAAATTAAAATATATGAATTTCCAGAAACAGATGATGAAGAAGAAAATAAACTTGTTAAAAAGATAAAGGTAGGTTCATCCCTATAAATACACTAAAGTAATTTGGGGCCTTAAAAACATACTATGACATCCACAGGAAAGATCAAAACTATCAGTGTTTTAAGTAGTTGGCTTACAAAATGCCTAGGGAGATTTAATGTTGAATCAGCTTTATAGTTAACTTTGAAGATTAGCTACTATATATAATAAGGAATTGTATAAACTACCAAGGCAACACAATCCTTATTTCAAATTGTTTTTAATTAACTGGCTTTCATATTAAGTAATTTTTTTCCCTCTTAAAAAACAAGTGATGAGAAAGGAGAGAATTGATTGTTAAGTTTTAATCACCAAAGATGTATTTATTTTGTCTTTATAAAAACCAACCAAAATTACAGCTAGATAAGAGGAATAAGTTCTAGCATTCTGTAGCATTGTAGGGTGGCTGTAGTTACAGTAATTTAGTCTATATTTTCAAATAGCCAGAAGAGAGGATAATGAACATTCCTAATACAGAAAAATAAGTTTGGGTTGGTAAATATGCTAATTACTCTAATTTGATCATAACATATTTATATATAGGTATTAGAATATCATACTGTACCCCACAGATATGTACAGTTATGTTTCAGTTAAAAATAACCAACTAAAAATTCACATCAGCATAATTTTCTGTATTTTAATGTATCATGGTTTTCTAAGTACTTTGCATCTAAAAATGGTATACTGAATAATGGCATATGTAGGCAGGTATCTTGGAATAATGAAATACTTATACCTTGCCAATGAAGAATTTCTGCAGTTTTATAAAATAGCTACTTAGATATTTCCACGAGTCACAAAATTGCGAAACCTTATATATGGATGAATGCAAATCCAGTCACTTGGATTTAAAGTTCCAAAGTTAGAGCTTAGCAAATATACTATTCTGTGCTTTAGGTACTGTTTTAGTTGGTTTGTGATCAGGTAGGCAGGCTAGTCACTAGCCTCCTTTTTTCCCCAAATGCCAATATATTTTTTTTACCTTTTTTCTCCCAAGTATGGGAAAATTTTCTGTAGTGATATTTAGTAAGTAATTTGACCAGTGTATGCTTGAATATTCTTAACTGTAAAGAGAAAATTTAATTTTATTTATTGTTTACCTTGGTGGTAATACCATGTGATGGCAATGTACTAAATATTTGTTAAATGGTCTGTAAAAATTAATGCAGAAACCATCAAAGTAATTTTTTTTTTTTTTTTTTCTGTTGAGTAATGTAACTTTTTTTTATTCTTGAATTTGTGAGGACTACAGAGCTGTATTTGAACAAGAATACTTTGTTTTATAGGACCGTTTACCTCTTGCTGTGGTAGGTAGTAATACTATCATTGAAGTTAATGGCAAAAGGGTCAGAGGAAGGCAGTATCCTTGGGGTGTTGCTGAAGGTAAGGTTTTCTTCAGTGAATGACTTTCAGTAATATTTAAAAACTGTGATTAAAAATTTTTATTTATAGTAAGTAGTACAATATGCATACTGCATTAATATATTCTAGATTTTCAAGGAAAGTACTGATTTCAGGTTCTTGGAGTCTCATTTTCCTCTTAAGTACATTCATATGTTTTGAACCTGTATCCTATTAAGTCAAGCAAGTATGTGTTAAGTCCTAAAGTTGTAATACAGGTTGAA